TCATCATCATCATCATCATCATCATCATCATCATCATCGTGATCATCCTCATCCTCATCCTCATCCTCATCATCATCCTCCTCCTCCTCCTGCTCATCATCATCATCATCATCATCATCATCATCATCATCATCAGCATCATCATCATCATCATCATCATCATCATCATCATCAGCATCATCATCGTTATCATCATCGTCATCATCATCATCATCAACATCATCATCATTCAACTTTTCGTGTCCAAAACAAGAAAAACGGCAACCCAAAACAGAAAGAAAACGACACCCGCCGGCCCCAAAACAAAAAAAACGGAAAGCGAAAACAGATTGAAAACGGAGAGCCAAACCAGAGAAAAAACAAAAAAAAACACGGCGCGCCAGGACAGCCGTCTTGCAGGCTGGCTTTCGCATGGCTGTGGGCTTGCTTGGTGCATGTGGTCAATCGGAAACCATTGCTCGTGATTGGACAAATGCACACTCTGCTCCCACGCCGCTACGAAAACGAAAACAAAACGGCAGCTAAAAACAGTAAAACACGGATCGCACAACGCACCGAAAACGGCGAGACGGCAATCCTAAAACGGAAAAACGGAGCCCAAAACAGAAAAAAACGTCGATCTTGAAAACGGGGGAAAAAAACGCCCCCAGCGTTCTTAAGAACATCCCTCCTCCTCCTCCTCCTCCTCCTCCTCCTCTTCCTCCTCCTCCTCCTCCTCCTCCTCCTCCCGCTCCCCCTCCTCCTCCTGCTCCTCCTTCTCCTCCTCCTCCTCCTCCTCCTCCTCCTCCTCCTCCTTCCTCTTCCGTATGAATAACTTCTCCCTGTCGCACCCCGAGGCAAGATTTTAGGGCGGGCCGGGCATTTCACCTGAGACGTCTCACCATGTGTGACCCTGACGCTTAAAAACGGCAACAGCTTCATAGATGGAGGGCGGGTGGTTTTCAAAATGTGGCTCTCGCCGTAGCGGCGCGCACATTCGTTTAAAGCAACTTGCAAGAGCTTCACGGATTGAGGGCGGGTGGCTTCTAAAATGCGGTTATTGCCTTATCGCCGCGCACACCCGTTTGAAAATTAGCCTGGCGAAGGACCCAACCCTATGCAGTAATGAATGCCGCAATTGTGAATACCATCTTCGCCCGCTCTCCCTATGTGGCCACGGCTTTCCGCCAGAGACCGGCAAGCTCAGGAACACGTTCGTGGCAGTCTTCGCGGGCGCCGACGACGACAATGACGGCGTCCCTCTGACCGAGGAGCAAAAGCAGGAGAGGGTTTTGAGAGCCATGAGGGAGGAGGTGGCGTTGCACGTCGACAAGGCGGAGTACGACGCCCAGGCGCGGTTGTTGAAGCAGCACAACTATGGGGCCACGATCCTCGTGAGGGGTGTGCCACAATGGCCCGAGGCCGCCATGCGAACTTTGCTACTGGCGCCTTTGGTGGAGCTCCTATGGGGCCACGATCCTCGTGAGGGGTGTGCCGAAATGCCCCGAGGCAACCATGCGAACCTTGCCACTGGCGCCTTCGCTGGAGCTCCTATGGGGCCACGATCCTCGTGAGAGATGTGCCGAAATGGCCTGAGGTCACCATGCGAACCCTGCCACTGGCGCCTTCGGTGAAGCTCCCCATGTGGCCACGATCCTCGTGAGGGGTGTGCCGAAATGGCCCGAGGCCGCCATGTGAACCCTGCCACTGGGGCCGTTAGCTCATATGGAACCACGATCCTCGTGAAGGGTGTGCCGAAATGGCCCGAGGCCGCCATGCGAACCCTGCCACTAGGGCCTTCGGTGGAGCTTCTATGGGGCCACGATCCTCGTGAGGGGTGTGCCGACATGGCCCGAGGCCGCCATGCCAACTTTGCTACTGGCGCCTTCGGTGGAGCTCATATGAGGCCACGATCCTCGTGAGAGGTGTGCCGACATGGCCCGAGGCGCCACGATCCTCGTGAGGGGTGTGCCGAAATGGCCCGAGGCCGCCATGTGAACCCTGCCACTGGGGCCGTTAGCTCATATGGAACCACGATCCTCGTGAAGGGTGTGCCGAAATGGCCCGAGGCCGCCATGCGAACCCTGCCGCTAGGGCCTTCGGTGGAGCTTCTATGGGGCCACGATCCTCGTGAGGGGTGTGCCGACATGGCCCGAGGCCGCCATGCCAACTTTGCTACTGGCGCCTTCGGTGGAGCTCATATGAGGCCACGATCCTCGTGAGAGGTGTGCCGACATGGCCCGAGGCGCCACGATCCTCGTGAGGGGTGTGCCGAAATGGCCCGAGGCCGCCATGCGAACTTTGCCACTGGCGCCTTCGGTGGAGCTCCTATGGGGCCACGATCCTCGTGAGGGGTGTGCCGACATGGCCCGAGGCCGCCATGCCAACTTTGCTACTGGCGCCTTCGGTGGAGCTCCTATGGGGCCACGATCCTCGTGAGGGGTGTGCCGAAATGGCCCGAGGCCGCCAAGCCAACTTTGCTACTGGCGCCTTCGGTGGAGCTCATGTGGGGCCACGATCCTCGTGAGGGGTGTGCCGACATGGCCCGAGGCCGCCATGCCAATTTTGCTACTGGCTCCTTCGGTGGAGCTCCTATGGGGCCACGATCCTCGTGAGGGGTGTGCCGAAATGGCCCGAGGCCGCCAAGCCAACTTTGCTACTGGCGCCTTCGGTGGAGCTCATATGGGGCCACGATCCTCGCGAGGGGTGTGCCGAAATGGCCCGAGGCCGCCATGCCAACTTTGCTACTGGCGCCTTCGGTGGAGCTCCTATGGGGGCACGATCCTCGTGAGGGGTGTGCCGAAATGGCCCGAGGCCGCCATGCGAACTTTGCCACTGGCGCCTTCGGTGGAGCTCCTATAGGGCCACGGTCCTCTGCCAAAATGGGGCGGTACCGAGATCGGTGATGATGATGACTATGCTGATGATGCTGATGATGATGATGATGATGATGATGGCGATGAAGATGATGATGATGATGATGATGATGATGATGATGATGATGATGATGATGCTGATGATGATGATGATGATGCTGCTGCTGCTGTTGCTGATGATGATGATGATGATGATGATGATAGTGATGATGATGATGATGACGATGATGGTGGTGATGACGATGATGGTGATGATGGTGATGATGATTATGAGCATTATGAGTACTATTATTTTGATGCTCATAAAGATCATGGTGATGATGATGACGATGATGCAAGGAGGAGGGAGGGGGCAGCGGGAGGAGGAAGGAACGCGGGGCGCTGTCTCCTCAAAACGAGGATCCAACACCACAGGATGGTTGGGAAAAATGTGCAAGGGTTTTACGGTCCCATGATCAACGTACCAGAAGTGGTGTTTTGGAAAGGTTCAGCATTATGCGGGTGCAACAGTTATGTTGGTTGGTTCGCGGTGTCGAAATCCCACACATGGCGTTCTGGCACGATTCCGGATAGTCAAGACGCAGCAGTCACTTTGATCCGCGGCGTTGAAATCCCCAGAACAATGTTTTGGCATGCTTCAGGGTCTTCAAACGGTTGCCTTCCAACGAGGCAGCTCCCTCAATGGAAATGAACCGTTGTAGGGGCCTATGGCGAGTGAGCTTGAAGAGAGGGTGAATTCCAACATCGTTGATGACTTTACACTGGTCCGCCTCATCCTCCTCGTCCTCCTCCTCCTTCCCCTCATCTTCCCACTCCTCGGTTGTGAGACCCTTGAGCTGGCGCTCGTCTGTACAGCGTCCGCGGTAAGTTTAATCTCTCCAAGCTGGGGTCTTGATTCGGGCAATTCCACTTGTGCAGCCCTACCCCGAAACTTTACCTATGCGGGCAAAACCTCTTGAACCCCACTATGAATCCGTGCTAGTCCTCCTTTTCCTCCTCCTCCTCCTCCTCCTCCTCCTCCTCCTTCTCGTCCTCCTTCTCCTCCTCCTTCTCCTCCTCCTCCTCCTCCTCCTCCTCCTCCTCCTCCTCCTCCTCCCCTTCCTCCCCACGCGCCGGGCTCTGACGGGCCAGTCTTGGGCCAGATGTAGTGGGCTGGCTTGGCGCTGTTTTTAGCCGCCTCTGAGATGCCTCGGGGCCGTCTACGAAGTCTGACGGTCTTTGGAAGTCGTGGGGCCATCTGGAGAGGTAACCGGGCCGCCTAGGACAATCTTGGAGCCGCCTCGGAACATCCTGGAGCCGGCTCGAGGTCTTGGATCGTTTAGGACCTGTCTTGGGGATGGTCCATGGCGGCCCCAAAATGGGCCCAAGAGAGGGAACACGAACCGAAAATCCCGGCCTTCCGCCCCAAGAGGCCCCCAAAAGGCCCCAAGGCTCGCCAAGAGGCATTTTTGAAACACCCCTCCCCCCAGTACAGTTGTCCTGCCATGGGGGGCAGCTACGGCAGCGCGAAGCACCTCGACTCAGCCCACGTCGCACTGGTACCAGTGCTCCCCGACGTGGTCCACCTCAAGGTCGCTGTCCACCGCCTCGTCGTTGTCCACCACCCCGCCCACGCTGTACTGGTTCCAGTACGGCTGGAAGTGGTCGTCCCGTTTGCGGATGTTCACCCCTCAGCAGCCTGTCTCGCCGCTTTCGCTTGGTGTCGGCACCCGAACACACCCCTCGCCTTGGCAGCGGTCCAGGACACGCTTTGTTCATCCCGTCCCTCCGCTGCGCCGCATACGCCCCACATTCTCGGCAGACGACATAGGGCCCGCAGATCTGCACCACATGCTGCCGCCGAGCGTCGGGTACGTCAGGTGGTGCCTCTTCAAGCCTCGGCTGCCTCCTCGGGGAACGCGATCTCGCCGCTGATGCACCACTCACCTGGCCCTGGCCCCTGTGGGCCGTGCGAGCTCCTCCAGCTGCCAGCTGGGAAGCCCCACCAGGCTCTGCATCATCAGCTGCACCTCGCTCTCCTGCGGCCGAACACGCCACGGCGGCCCCCACGACGATGGTTGCCGCCACAGGCCCAACGCCCGTGACCCCCGTAGCCGCCGGCGTAGCCGCACGCTGACGCACTCCTCGTGCAGTTCCAACACAAGCCTCGAGCGAACCCGCGTCGGCTGTCCCGTTCACCACATCCACCATGCGCCACGGAGGTGGGCGGCATTCCGCCTCCCACAGCTTCTTCCTCATGCGTGCCGTGGCCGCACGCCGCCCACACCGCGCACGCACTTGCCAGCGCCCACGCTGCTCCACCTCGTGCTTTGTCAACTGGATGTGAGGCTGCTGCTGTCGCCTGCGCCTGGGCCCAGGCGGCGGCGGGAGGACGTCAGGCCACTCTCCGTTCAGCTGCTGGTGCCACCAACCGACGTTATGGATGGCCCACCTCACCTTCTCTCCGAGCCTATCGAGCACCTCCTGCCTGCCGTAGCCGTAGTCGTCCTCGGCGCCACTCTTCGCCAAGAGGTCAACGGCTGCGTTACCCCTGGCAATGGCCTGCTGGCACCCCTCGAGTCTGTCAATCGTGGTCTTCGATCGATGCGCCTTGACGCGCCCCACACAGCTGCGGTCCAAACCCACGTCGACCACCTTGTGCCAGATCCTCCGCCACAAATCTGCACGTGGCCGCTTCCAGGAGAGGCACCATCGAGCACCTCGAATCAGGCCGTCGACGATCCCCTGGTGATCGGTGTAGATCCTGCATGGTGGCATCACCACCTCCAGCACCTTGAGGAAGGCCCACATCTCCGAACGCTTCACTGTCTTCTGCACACTGTACTGGCGCGGCAACGGGCCCCAGAGCTGGACAGTTGGCGCACCTTCGCCGTTGATCGCCATAGCTGCCCACCCAGCCTGCGCCCACTCGCTGCCGCCCATCTTCGACCCGTCGCACATGATGTCACCCGTGAGGTGGGCCTCGGAACCCTCGTTCACCACGAAGTGGTACTGCTCCTCCGCAATGGCGCGAAACTGCCAGTCCACCGGCGGGTCCCTCACCAGCCCCCTCGTCCACAATAAACTGTCGACCTGCTGCTCCGCCACGTGCTGCCAGTCCGCCTGCCCCTTGTTCCGCACGTCGCGCAGCTTCGGGCAGACGTAGCACCTGTGGTGCGGCGTGCCCACGGCCTCGCCACACGCCAAGCAGATGTCCGTCGGCGTGATGTTGTGCTCACATAGCTTACTCATGGCCCAGGAGTCGCATAAGAGCACCTTCCTCGCTGCGTTCTTCGCATGCTTCGGGAAATTCCTGGCCACCACCAGCGCCCTAGCGGGCTGCAAGAAGGGTGCTGGTGCCAAGCTCTCGTGCCCAGGCTCTGCTGCCCACTGCGCCCACAGCTGTGCCTCCAGGTCCTGCTGCAATAACATCCCGACGTCGTTGGGGCAGGTCTCCAAGAGGTTGAGCTGTTCCCCGTTGCGCATCAGGAAAGTGTGCCACTTCGACCACGTCCAGCCAGCTCTGCGTATGGACATGATGACGGCACCTGCGTTGCCTTTGACACGCCCCCACTGCGGCTGCATGCCCACTGCGATTTGCTGCTGCTTCCACGCCCTCTGTAGTTGCTCTTGCAGATCGTCACGTTCGCTGAGGCCCCGCCGTCGTTCGCTGACCCGCTCCTCCGAGATGGCCGACTGCCGTCCCACCTGCACGAAGAGATCCAGAAGCTCGCCGAGACTACCGATGTTGTGGCACCCGCTGCCCGCCTCCAGCTGCCTTTCACCGTCGTCAGGTACTCGTCGCAGCCTGTCACCGAGCAGCCGTCGGAGTACCTGCCGCACCGCGACTCGCTCGTACCTGCATTGCTTCAGCACCTCAACCCGGTCCACGTAATCCAGGTTGCTGATGTACCTGATCGCCGCCGCCCGCCTCCATCGCGCACGCGCCCACGATCGCCTGCACGTAGCTGCGATTTCTGCCTGCGTGGCCCCCTCGTACCTCACCCCCACAAGCACGGTCGCCCACTCAAGCCAGGCGCCGACGTCTTGGTAGCCCACCCCTCGCAGGTCGGTGATCCACAACGCCGCCCAGACACCCAGCGCTTCATCCAGGGCAGCAACATCATCTACAGCACCTCTCCCCGCGAGCAAGGTGCCATTGATGAAAGGGCGAGCGGGGGTCTGCACACCAGCCTCTGGCCGCGTGTCTTGCCGCTCAGGTCGTTCATGATGCTCGTGCTGGGCCTCCCACTGCGCTGCTCTCGTCGCTTCTTCACCCACTGCCAGCTTCCACACTGCGCGTGACCAGCGCGCACAGGGGCGGCCGTGATCTCGCGCGTGGGCTCCTCCTTCGCGAGTGCCAGCTGCAACGTGAGACTCTTCGCCCCCTTGGGCCCTGGGAGAGGCTTGCCTGCAGCGCGACGAACTTGCTGAAGCTGGTGATCTGGCATGCCCAAGCACTTGCACCCATGCAACACCGACCGCTTCAGCTCACACTTGTACACCAAACCCATACCTCTTGCCATTCCTTTACCTCCTCTCCGCAACTGCAGTAACCTGGCCGTCCGCCTCCGCATCTTGGCGAAACGCTTGCCGCCCTTTGCCTTGGGAGCCGTGCCGCAGGAGACCATGCCGACCCCCAGGCAGGGGTGCGCTCAGACAACTGGTAACCCCCGCTGGCTCATATCGCCCTGCACGGTGTCCCTGAGCCACTTGGCACTAGCCATGACCGCGCACTTGCCCTTTGCACCCACGGAGAACTCCAGGCCCAGTTCAGCGAAACTCGCAAAGCTGTCGTCGATCGCCACCGGGAAGACATCGGCCACCCACTGCTGCGCACCCCTCTGCCTGATGCTGAGGTCACCGACGTGCATGCGCCACGTTGCCAGCGGGTGCTCAACCACCAACCCGCCGACCGCACCCTGAATCACCATCTCGAGGAAACCCTCCGAGAACTTGCTGCCTGCAATGATGGTGCACACCGTGCGCGTCTCGAGCGACACCGCGCCCCCCGTGCTGACACGCCGCGCCATGGCAAAGCAGGAGCAGACCACCGCCAGAACCCCTGTGTGAAAACCCATGCGCTTGCCCCGCTCCCACAGGACGTGCAAACTCACCCTCTCGAAGGCCTGCGCCAGGTCCAGGATCGCCGTGATCGCGGCAGTGACTGCGGGATCAGCGCCCCCAGGAGCGCCAGCTTCGTGAGCCAAAAGAACCTCCCACGCCGCATCCTCAGCCGCGCGCCCGTAGGAAGTGCAGCCCCACGACCTGTGATTCTCCCTCGCCCACGCCTGCAAATACGGCCCCCTCATGATCTCCCAGACCCTCACAAGGGTGGGCAGGAGAGGCCGATAGCACGGTCGACCAGCTCACTCTTGGGGATGAGGAAAAAGATGACCGCGGCCGCGTGCAACGGCCAAACCAGGGTCTTCTCTACCCCACGCAGGATGGCCAGCAACGTCCAGTGCGCGTCGTCCGAAGCACCCTGCAACATAGACGGGTGCCACCTGTCTGACCCCATCGCCGTCTTCTTCTTGAAACTGCGAGCGACCTTCTTCAGCCGATCGAAGTCCCCGTCGTTGAAGCCGTTCAGCTCCATGCGCGGCTCCAGCTCCCAGGGCCTGGGAGCTGTCTGTGCCACTTCTCCCACTCGTCACACTTTGTTCCTCTCGTTGAGCGCGCACTGAGCAGCCTGCAAAGGGTCGGCGGACTGGGCAGCAGATGCCGCCCGCCGTGGTCTCCAGACCTCGGCTGGCTTGCAAGCCTGTGAAGGCCTCCTGCCGTACCTTGCGCCGCCGACTCCAGCTTGGCTGCCCACTCTTTCCTCCTCTCGTTGACCAAATCCTGATCGAAGCGCTTGGACATGGCCCTCGCCTCCTCCAGCAGCGCCTTCAGGATGTGTCGCTTGTCGACCCCGCGCCACAGCCCTTAAGCAATCACCTGGCACCTCGCAGCCCAAAGCACACGATCGGCCTGGCCCACCATCCTCCTGTTGCGAGCCGCGCCGCTGAGGTTGAAGAGCCTCTCCTGTGCAAGAACATCGACCAGCCTCTGGGTGATGGGGCCAGCGTTGGCCGACTTCGAGTGGAACCGATCGTAGGCACCCATCAGGTTGCCCAAAGTCCTTGCAAGCCACCTCCTCCAGAGCGCCGCTCCTGTCGGCTTCGGCAGGTTGCGACCACCCTGCTTGACCTCCATGATCTGCCAAAGTGGTCCCCGCGCCGACCTGCTTGCTGATGCTGTGGGTCCCACGCCATCCCGCGAACACCAAAGGCCTCACGCTCCAGCCTATGCATGAAGTGGCTCCAACTCTTGGTGGCAGTACCTGCCGAATTGAAAGCCTCCACCTTGCGTAACTCGGCGGCTCGGGGGCGCAACCAATGATGACATCGTCCAGGTCCCTCGGCTTCTGCAGGGCCCTGGCACGCTTCACCTGGACGCTCAAGCCCAGGGTGAGGCCGACCGGCTTGCGCGGCGCCGAAGCCCACCCTTCCTGCAGCACGACCTTGACCACCTTGTCGCGCAAGCCCTTGGGACACAACGAAGTAGTCGATGGTCGAGCTACCTCCAGCTGCGCGGCGCGTCCCGCACACCGTCGTGGGCGCCACCAGCATGGCCTCCGCCTGCTTGATGGCCTTCACCTCCGCCAGGACGCCAGGAGGATCCTGGACATCGCCGCGTATCACCCACGGCATGCCCAGGCTCTCCATAAACTCCACGACGCCCGTGACAATGGCAATGTTGCGGTTGGACAGGCCCTCCGCCGCCCACAGGTAGACCGTCGCGATCAACATGCCTCCACGCCCCGCTGCTATCCAGGCAGTAGCTGCCCGTCCAGCCGAGCCCTTGGGCGAGGCGTCCCACTTGGTCTGGCCGAAGGGGTAGGCCGCGCCCATGTCCTTCGGCACTGCAAAGCCTACGCCCGCCGAGGTACCTGGTTCGCCTTCACGCCCGACTGTGGGAACGGCTGCGGCGCCTCCGATCTGACAACCGCAAGCCTTCATGCTGCCAGTGACTCCAGCCCACGCCTCGTCCAGCAGCCGATGTTCCTGGAAAGCGTGGACATGCCGCGCCCGCCGTCTCGCACCGTCGTCGCAGTTCTCCTCGAGCACCTTCTCTTTAATTAATCGTACCCCAGCTGGAGCCATTGAAGGTCCACCGGGTGATGTCCTTCCTCCTACTGACCTCGATCGGCCGTGGGATCAGAAGGTGCCGCTCCGTCGGGTCCTGCAGGATCTGCGCGTACCCTGCCCAACCAGCGCCCGTGGTGTTCACCTCGGCGCCGCGCGCCCTCTCGCTGCCCTCGGACAGCGGGATCCACCCCTCGGAGGTCCACTGACTGCCTGGCCAGCCAGGGACCCGCTGCTGTCGCCGTAGATGATCGACCACGGCTGCACGCCACGGGGAGACGCCGTACCCGAGGTCGGCGCCGTTGAGCACGAAGTAGAGGAGACTGCTACCCCATTCGCATCTTCTTCGCCACCTGGGACGCGTGCACCCCGACCAACACTTCCTTTCCTGGAAACGCTTGTACCGCTCAGGCTGCTGCACGGGGTCTGGGGCAGGGGCCAGACCATTGACCCACTGCTTCTCCTCCTCGGTGACTCCATCTGGCATGTCCACGTCGTCGGCGAACCCTCCGCCACTGCCTTCATCGGCTTTGCCCCCACTGCCCCCAGCAGGTTGCCCAGGATGCTCAGCACCAGCATCACCTTCAGCAGCGGCCGTGGTGATGAGGGTCTCGACCTTGGACCAGACGTCGCCAAAGCCCATGTTCTCGAGGGTGTCACCCGCCTTGGTGACCGTTGCCTCGAGCTGGACGCGCAAGACATCAAGGTCGGATGCTGGGGCTGTGGGCTGCTGCGCCGCGATCTTGGCCTGCAGGGCGAGCTCGTTGGCCTTGGCCTCGGCCTTGGCCTGGCGCGCCTCCTGCATTGCCTTCTGCACCGCGGCCAACTCCTTCTGCAGCTTCTCGGCCTGACGAACGAGCACCTCCTCCTGATGCGCTCGCTCGGCCGAGAGAGCCTGAGCCTCGCGCATCTGGGTGACGAGCGGCTTCGCTTGGTCCCTGATGTTGCGAGCCTTGGCAATGTCCCTGTCCAGCTGCGCAATTCCCTCGGTGACATACGGCGGTGGGTCTTCTCCCTCGACCACAGGGAACTCCTGGAGGCACTTACGCTTGCCCAGCAGCACCTCGAGCTCCGTCTGTGGGCGTGCCCACTCCCTCTCGCGCCTTGTCTTGGGCCCAAGGCGGGCGGGTCGTACTCGTCTCCATGGTGTAGCTCTTGTTCTGCACCTTGCCCTTGACCTTGCCGCCCTTGCCCGTCCGCAGCCGTCCGCAAGCACGGCAGCACGTGCGCGTCGGCCAGTTGCTGCCCGTGCCGCAGGCCCCGCATGTCCAGGGTAGGTCGCCCACAGATGGCGTAGCACCATTGTGTCCTCCCCCCCACTGAATGCAGGGCTTCGGGTCCCGCTGCTTCTTCTTCTTGCCACCACCTTTGACCACCCAGCCATCCTCGCCGCCCGCCATCGGTGCGCCCCACGCGCCGATACGAACCCACGAGGGCACTGGAGGGTGCTGCAGCGGCGGTTCATAGCCTTGAGCCAAAATGGCTACGGAGGCTCGCCAAGAGGCCCCAAGAGGCCCCCCAAGAGGCCCCCAGGCGCGGGCTTCCTCGGAGCCGTCTGGATGCTGGAAGACATGGCACGGCTCACACCTTGGAGCACCGCCACGCTGTCTAGACGCGCGTTCGGCCTCCTGGCCAGGAAGACCTCGAGGGGCATCGTCGTGGACCCCCTTCTGGAGAGGCTTGGGCTCGCCGCGGGCAGCCGCGGCAT